AAGGCATACTCAAACCCCAGCTAAATCTCAGTGGTCCACAACTGAAGAAGCAACTTAAGCCATTAGTCATTAAAGTTCTACTCAAGTTAAACATGAGCTCGGTCTTGCTTAATGTTGCTTATACCTGGGAGTGTAAAACGCTGGAAAAGTCAAGAAGCATCTCTATTGGTGAGGTGCCTTCAGGAGTGAGGTGTTTTCCCCTGGGGCTGGAGAGATGACTCAGTGGTTAAGAGCACTGGCTGCTCTTCTAGAGGACCTGAGTTCAATTCCCAGCACCCACATGGGGGCTCACAGCTGTCTGTAATTCTAGGATCCGAACCCCTCACACAGACATACATGCAGGCAAAACATTAATGCATATAAAATAAATAGTTATTTTTTCTGGTGGGAATGTTTAAAAGCTTTGGAATGAAACAAATATTATCTGGATGGCATTGGCACCCCGTTAACCACAGTGCAATGCTCCAGGAAACCCGTTCTTTCTTGTGTCCCAGATCCATGCAAATGCTGAATGAGAGTGTGGGGGAAACATGGGAGATGAGACAGTACCTCCACCACACAGTCTTCCCTTGTCTGGACCACTTATGTATCTATGTTTGTTTTGTTGAAAAAAATTATTTCGCCTAACTCACATTGCCTTTGAACACTTAATCCTCCTGCCTCTGCTTCCCAGGTACTGGGATTACAGCTGTGTCCCACCAGGCCCGGCTTGCAATAGCTTTTTCCTAACCTTTCCTTTGTTTCTTTGGAATGTCTTTAAAACAATCATTTATTTTATGTGTCATAGGTGTACCTGAGTATATGTGTGTATAGCACGTGTGTGCATGGGCCTGAGCACATCAGAAGAGAGCATTGGATCCTCTGGAACTGGAGGTACAGGTGGTTGTGAGCCATCATGAGCTACTCACACTCATGGGAGTGTTAGGAGCGGACCCCTGGTCTTCTGCAAGAGCAGTAAGCGTTCTTAACTGCTAAGCCATCTCTCTAGTTCCCAGAATGCCTTTCAAAACCTCTGTGACCTTTACCTTTAGGAAACTGTAGAAGCAGACTGTCTCCTGATGTCGCTGTGAAGCACAACTAAAAGCCCTGGACATTATGAATATAAAAAAAAAACAAAAAAAACAGACAAACAAAAACACACTTGAAGATTATGAAATGTGAAAGGAAGGCAGGGACCTTCCAGGAAACTTGGCACCCAAGGATCAACAAGGCAGTGGGTTCCTGGGTTTGTCTTTCTGTCCCACACACCCGAAACCTGGATGTGAGGAAGACTCCAACTCAAGAATCATGATAGATCTGGATAAACGCGGTGGCAGCAAAAGCCCAACACCAGAAAGGAAGCAAGTAGAAGCTGGCATCAGCCACAGCAAATCTTACAATGTCACCACACCTCAGTGACTTGTCACTCTTGCTGTAAGATAAAATCACAATACTCTATAGTGCTCTACTAAAGTTCCTGAGGTCACAATTTGCGTGGCCTAGCTCAGTGATTCCCCAGTGGCTAAAAATCTCCTATAAATATAGTTAAATTCCACCCTCTTAATATCTCACAGTGGGTATTAAATTTCCACACATGAGCCCAGCCCAGACTGTCTGCTTGAACTATCTATGGAACTTATGAAAAATTATTATTATTATTATTATTATTATTATTGGTTTGTTTCTTTGAGACAGGGTTTCTCTGTGTAGCCCTGGCTGTCCTGGAACTCACTCTGTAGACCAGGCTAGCCTCGAACTCTCGAACTCAGAAATCCACCTGCCTCTGCCTCCCAAGTGCTACGAAAAATTATTGATGTGTAGTCCTGCTTTGGATCACGTAAATCAGGATCTCCAGGGATGGGTAGATATTCACTGAAATGCTTTTTTGATTAGTCTGTTCTACCACCAGACAGAAGGCTCCATAAGGGACTGGAATCAAGCAAATGAGCCAGGTCTGGTGGTAGAAAATGCCTGTCATCTCAGCCCAAGTAGGCGAGGGTGGAGGATCAGGAGTCAAGGTCATCTCTGACTAGGTATCAATGTGGAGGTTATTCTGGGCTATTTGAGATCCTGTCACAAACAAACAAACCAAACCAACTCCCCTACACCTCCCCCACCCCCCACAAAAGCAAAACAAACAAAAACCCAAAATAACCACAAACAAACCCCAACAACAAAAATCTCTAAAATCAAAGCCAAAGACATGAGGCAAGGAGATGGAAATCCTTTTTCCCTGCTTTGCTGGTTCCAGATCCCGTGGAAGACTAGGCTGTCTCCCTGAGTCCATCCCCATCACTCGGGAGTTGCATTACCCAGCAACAGCAGAGATCAGCACAACATCATTCCAGGAGGCACTGTCATAAGTTTCCAGATTTGATTCTTAGGGTGCCTCTTTCTTCACACTCAATCAACAAATTCAAGTGCAACAGAAGCTGGCAAGGAGGCAGGAGCGACACTCATTCTTACTCATACAGAGAGAATAGAAACTGTTTTAAAAGCAGCTTAAAAGAAATTAGGGGCACTGACAAAGAAGTGAAAAAAAAAAGATTTTATAGAAGGGAAAGGCTGGTCCTCCCAGCTTTTGACCTAATAAAATTGCTCCCTGACCACCCGCCTTTCCCCCACCCCACCCCCCATCTCTAAAGGCTTTTGTGAGTCTGGATCCCTGAATGTTGATGAGGAAGATGATATGAGACACTGGATTAAATAAATTTCAAGTATTCTTAGGGCTTATCCTGAATCTGCCATCTGGTCTCCTCCTCTGAACCTTGGTATCCCCCCATCCTCAGCACAGTACAGGAGCTACTACTTCAAACAATTACTTAAGACATCTTATGTTCTGATACTTTGTAAGAATGTTAGCCCCCAGACCCTACTGCATGTGAAATCCAACTACTGTTAGTAATTCTGCTTTATTTGCATGTCAACAATATGGACACCATCTGGTCTATTAATTTTGTGAAAAACATTCTGATTTTCTTTAAGACTTTCATGTATGTGAGTGTTTGCCTGCATGCATGTATGTGCAGCGCATGTATGCCTGTTGCCTGTGGTGGGCAGAAGAGGGCGTGGAATCCCTTAGAACTGGAGCTACCATGTTGATGCTGGGAATTGAACCTAGGTCCTCAGCAAGAGCTCTTAATCTCTGAGCCATCTCACCAGTCTTTGAAACATTTTTAAAAAATTATGTTATTTTTTTTCATTTTTGGTATGAGGAATATTTTTTCCTCAAGTTCTTGTCAAAGATTCTACAGGTAGAGCTATGTGGAAGAGAGTCAGACGTAAGCTGCATGAAAGTGCACGCGCACAATTTCAATTCTTCATTACTCAGCACTTCGTGACGTGTTTGGTGGACTGCAGATGTAGTTCAGCAGGAGACTGCTTTCCTAGGCCTTTGGGTTCACCTCCTAGAACTGGAAGGCTCTATGTTATGGGTTTGCCTAGCTGTGTGGTAGTGTAAGTGTTCTCAACACAAGGTATGCTGTATAAGCCAAAACAGTCAGCCAAAACAGGCTGGATGGCTTTTTAGAACTTTCATAAGGGGTATAAATATTTTCTAAATGAAATTTGTCATTCTTAAAATTTGTTGTTCTACTGACTTTTCTTTTAAAATGTTATTTTATTATGTGTACGGATATTTTGCCTGCATGTATGTCAATGCAAGAGAAGCATGCCTGGTACAGATACTACAAGAGGGTATCGTCTTCTCTGGAGTTACAATTATAAATGGCTGTGAGTTGCCACTGGATGCTGGTCTGGAACCTGGGTCCTCTAGAAATGCAGCCAGAGTTCTTGCTTGCTGAGCCATCCCTACAGGGCTCTTTATCCCCCACTTCTTTAAAAAGAGTGGTTGCAGCATGTTTTGGGAGGAGTGATCTTTTTATGGGTCCAAGACTACCCCACACCCCAAGATGCTGAGATTACAGATAAGTGCTACCGTACTTAGTTCAACCTCTGCATTAACTTTTTAATGAGGTCAAGCTATGAGTTCATGGGGCTGCAATTTAGGATGGTGATAAAACTTTATGTCTGTAGGGCTTCCAGATCAAGCAGTTAAAAATACAAGAGACTGAATTTTATTTGACTTTCAAATAAGTAATAAAATGTTAGTATAAGTATGAAGCATGTGGTGTCTAAGAACTTTGATTAAGGGTAGATACTGGGATGAGGATGACGTATGTGCCTTCAGAGGAGAACTGGAACACTCTGCTTCTGTCTTGTGCTGTATCTGGTACAGCTTGACGATCACTGGGTGAGTGGATGCAGTATGGACAGCAAATAGGTGCTGGGTGATTCCAAACAAGGGTGATGCTCAAGATCAGATCCCAGCCTCTTTGGATTCACTTCCTTCCTTTTTGCCCACTGTCAAAAGAGTAGTTCTCAATGCCTGCTGAATCTCCCCACCTTCTCAACAGATAGGTAGCAATATCTGGACATATTTTTGGCTATATTAAAGTGAGCAGGGCTATTACCAGCATCTAATTGGTTGAGGCCATGGATGTTGCTAAAGGTCCTGGGGTGGACAACAACAGCTCCTTACAACAGAATGTCATCTGGTCCAAATGTCCACAAGGCTGAGAAGCCCTAGTCTAGACTGGAGTGCACAGGATTTAATTGCGATTCTATCAAATTACCCCAGGGCTGTTGCTACCTTATTATTCAAGACGTCTAACAAAGGGGGAAAGTGTATCCTACCCTTTACACAGTACAAGCCCTGGTGGAAGACATTTGATCCACTCCTTCAATCTCTTCTAAGGGAAGCATAGAAAAAGTGCCAGCCCTCAACTTTTACAGCTCTCACCGCAGCATGGCCTAGATTTGAAGAGTTTGCTTTGGAACTATAAAATTCAGGGACCACACCATGTAAGCCTTCCTTCCTTCAGCACTGAGGCTTTGTGGGACACGCTTATAAATGCTAACTGGAGATAACATGTGCCCGTCATTTTGTCTACTTCCGGGATGGCTCTAGTGCTCGACCTAGAAGAAAGGGGATTGCTAAATATGATATTCACGATGAGTTGAACAGTATTCCATGCTTTTTATTATGTTCACTTCTAATTGTCCATAAAAATTTATAGACATATATTTATATTAAGGATCTAATTAATTTTCATGATAGCCATGGGAAACAAAGAGGGGGTGGATTATAGCACTCTCACTTTGAGAGGCAAGAATTAAACCTGTCTGGAGTTCCATACAGATTACTTGAAAGGCCAGGACTTAAGTGGTGGTTTTGTTAGGGATACCATACGTACTGTCCCCAGCAGCACTCTATAGACACCCTCTATTCCGCTGTCCCTTGTTAGTGAAATGCCTTAGTTTTCTGTTTGCTCTTTTCTGACATGAAGTTTTCTGTTGCCATGACCATGTCAGCTTATAAAAGAAAGCATTTACCTGGGGGCTTACAACTTTAGGGCTGGTGTCCAGGAACACAATGGGAAGAACATGGTGGCAGTCAGTCAGTCAGTGCTGGGGCAGTAGCTAAAACTTACTGATTCACAAACAGGAAGCAGAGAGGGACAGAGTGGGGCAGAGGAAGGTGGGCATTGCTAACTGGAAATAGCATGAGCTTATCCAGTGACACACTTCCTACAAAAGGATCACAGCTCCTAATCCTTCCCAAACAGTTCCACTGAAGACCAATTAATCCAAACCTATGAGTCCATGGCGGCCATCAGTAGTAAATGTCTACTTTGAAAATCCCCTTAAAATCTACATGAGATTGAGAAAGTTGCTAATTAGAAAGGGATAGCAAAGACATTTCCATTGTATGTATTTAACCTTCTTATACCTAACTGTAGCACAGAGAAAAACAGAAAATAATGAGTTATGATTCAGCAACTATTTACTAAGGGCTGTTTGGTGCCAACTCATGTGCTGGGAATCCCAAAGATCAAAGATAGTACAGATCCATCACATGGCATTGAAGATGCAGGGAAAGATGTTTTGTGTACAAGGAGATATGTGGGGTGCTGGGAATTAAACTAGGGTCCTCTTCAAGAACAGCAAGTACTCTTAACTGCTGAGGTACCTCTCTGCCTCCTGTTAAGGTTCTTCACTGTTCAGTGGACTAGAAAAGGAACATTTTATCTTGATTAATTTTGGGGGGAGGGGTATAAAGAGTGACTGACTTAAAGACCAGAACTAAACTTAAAAGTATGTCAACTCTGAAGTGTCTCTTATGACCATACCATTCAAATTACTTTAAAGGCTGGGATATCTCTTTAGATTATCATTCCTATATTTACTTCCAGCTATGTTATATTTACATGTGCTTTTTCTAAGAATTATTTTTTGAAATTGGAGTGAAATTTGGAATATAAAATCCTTTTGTATCTTACCCTTTTCATGTATTATGAATACTCCTAAAACTACATATAGAAAAATCTGTTTATTTTTTTCTATAAAACACTTCAAAAATACAGTGGAAAAAAAGAAAATCTAAATTAACCCTATATTGACTGGGACACACTTGTAACGTGTGTGTGTGTGTGTGTGTGTGTGTGTGTGTGTGTGTGTGGGAGGGTGGGGGAGAATTTAAAAGTCTGGATTCCTTGACTTGCTGTGCAGCAGCACGTGTCCTTTGACCTTGGTTACAGCAAAATGCAAAGTAACATTGCAAACAGCCAGCGGCTGTCCAGTACTTATTTCACAAGACAGCAAGCCTCTTTTTTACCTCTTAGGTACAAACTGATGAAAATACCCAGCGGGGCTACTATAATGTCAGACCACTCCCTTGCTCTGGGTTGACACTCCAAATACAGCAAGTTGTCAGTTGTCACTTAAAGGCAGCATGTGTCAAGCCATCCTTTCTTATCTCCCTGAGAAGTGCGATAGCATAGTGTCCTAAGGTGAAGAGTCCAGAGGTGCAGGAGAGGACAAGACCTTAAGAGCTCACACAGGAGCAGACACATTTTTAATCCGATTTTTCACTGTGCTTGGGGGCAGAGGACACTAAGTTTTCAGCGTCACACACGAAAACGGGTCTCTACAGCTTAGGGAAAGCGGCCATTAGATTCACCTTGGGAGCTTGTTAACCAGATTTCAGGAAGGAAGCCCATTAGTGGCGTTTCTGATTCCGTAGGTCTAGGTGTGGTCGTGAATGTGCCGTTCTAAATAAAGAATTCTTGGGTAATGAGGTTGCGGGCCCAAAGATTTCGGAACCCCAGGTGACTAACACCATCGCCATCCAAGCTAACCAGCAGCAGGAGAAAAGCATGGAGAGCGACGGCTGTCCAAACATCTTTCGCCACCTTCATCCTCTGTCGCCGGGAATGGGTCAGAACAGGGAAGCGGCAGGAGGAGCGATGCCGGCGCCTTAGGAACGGGAACTCCTCTCCCCAACTTCCGCCCCTGGGGAAAAGCAGAAGCCATCAGCTCCAGGAGAGCGGCTCTTCAATTCTCAGCCTTTAGGTTCTGGCTCCAGTGACTGCCCGATCTCCCGGTAACGCCGGCGCCGCTGTACCCCATCTGTAGACGGGCGTATTGCAGGTGAGGGCGGGGACCTGGGCCTGGTGGGGAGGCGACTGGGTAGAGTCGGCCCGGATCCCGGACCGTTCTTCGCCTGCGGCCCGGGAGAGCTGAAGATGGCTGCTCAGGAGCTCGGCGGACAGTCACGTGTTACGCAGGCACGGCCGTTCCTGGTCTCCCCCCCGCCCCCCTTTCCCAGAACAGACCCTGCGGGTAGTGCGTCCAGGGCGACCCAAGCCACGGCGGTACGAGCGGCCAGCCCGGAAGGCCGGAGCCACGGAAGGCTGCTGTCTCTGCCGCGCGACCACTGTCCCAGTACCGGGTTCCGCTGCGCGAGCTGGAGGAAATCGGCTGGCGACCCGCACCCGGCGGGGCCATTGGGCATGCGCAGTGCTCCGGCCCTGGTGCGGCGCTCTCCAGGTTTTCGCCGCAGCTCCGAGCAGCGGCGGGAGGTGGGGCCGGGACGGACTAGGGGGCCCCGGTTCTTCCCGAGAACTCCCGGGCCTTCGTGCAGCCCGGCGCTGTGCGACTTAGGAAGCCGGCAGACTCCCTGACTTTTCGGGGGGGAAGATAGTAGTGCAAGGATTAGAGCTTCGGAAAATGTCCGGAAGAGGTTGAGGTCCATCCATTTTTAAATGATCAATCATGAGGGAGTCACAAGTGTCGCAGCTCTTGGGCTTGGTGGGGAAGGAAATGCCAGTGTAGTTCTCCAACAGCTGTCCCCGATGGTAATTTCTCGAAGGCTGAGTTTGTGTTCCCAGCTTTCTGGCCGCTTTAGCAGCACAACTCTTGGGCTGGCTCCTAATTGGGCTTCTGATCCCGGAGGATGAAACCCACCATGTGGGCCTTCCTCTTCTCGTAGTTGGGATGGGGAGGGGGTAAGGGCCCGCATCTCCAGTTCCCGTTTCTAGAAACGAAGAGGACCCCCCAGTCCCCACACCCTAGGGCAAGCTGTCCTGCGGGACTCAGCTGGGTCCCCGGCCGAGCGTCCGCGGTCCCCGCCCCCCGGCCGCCGGGAACACCCGGAGGAACGGACCGGCGTCGCGCGGGAAGCCGACCCGGCTCCGCCGCGGACTGGGCATGCTCGGCAGCCCGAGGTTCCAAGTCAGAAGCCTTCTCGCCAGCTCGGCGGCGGCCGGAGCAACGGCGGCGGGCTGCCGGCTGGACGGGAGCAGGGAGGGCCGGTTCGGGCGGGCTGCTCGTCCCGGGAGCCTGGCACCGCGGACCGGAGAGCGGGACCGGGTGCGGAGCTCGCACGCCGCCCTGCCCCGGTTTCGTTCCGCGGCGCGGGGCTCGGCGCGTGGAAAGAATTCCGGCGGCTGCCACGACTCGCGTGCAAGTGAGTCGCGGGGCGGGGGTGGAGGGCCGACCTCCCGGTCGCGAGCGGCCGGATCTGACCCGAGTCTCGCGGGCCGGGCCTGACCTCGGTTGACGGCGGGCGGGCAGCCCGGGCGAGGGGGCGTGAGCGCACACCGCGCGGTGTCGCGCGTACCTGGCGTGCGGTCCCCCGCGGCCGCTCGTGGGGGTGGGCGCGGGGGAGCGCTCCGGCGGCCGCGATCCCGGCTCCGAGGGGGCGGGCCGCCGGCGGGGCTCCCCCGCCAACTTGGGCGGGGAGGAAGGCGGAGGCGTCAGTGGGCACCTTTCCGAGGTGCTGCGTGCGGGCTGGAAGGCTGCCTGGTGTCACATTGGGGCGAGCGGACGGTAGCAGGGCCGGAGAGCCCGGGGCTGAGGACCTTTCAGGCGGAAGCCAGCCAGAGGTCCCGTAGTGCTTAGGGGTGGACCCCCCAAATCGCAGCCCCACCCCCACAACCCTGGGCAGCAGAGTGACAGTTGGTTCCCTCTGGCCTGATCGCAGCGGGGCCAAGTGTCTTCAGCTTTGAGATTCCTTTCAGCACGGCCCCTCGATGACCCCCAACGGCATAACAGGTGGGATCCCCCTTCCCGGAGGAGCGAGCCCCTTTCTCCCCAGGCGGTGTAACAGCCCCTGGCTCGGGACTGTTCTGAGACCTCTCGTGTCCTCGCCGCGTGGGGGTGTTAAAGGGTAAGGCCTGCAGGGGCATCTGCGTAGCTCTGGACGCGGTTCGTTCAGAGAATGAGGGGTCTGAGTGATCGTAGGCGACTTGTCAAGGGCACATCAGCGGTAACAGCGCTGCCTCGGTTCGGATCGTAACCCACACTCCGACTGTCTTCCTCCGGTGGCCCGGGTGCCCTGGTCCATCTAACGGATTCTGGTTAACGCTTGATCCCTTTTGACTGTCGCAAGTAATAGTCGGGGTGAAGGATGCTGTGGACCTGGGGAGCTAAGAGAATCCGGGCAGGTGCTTCTCGGATGTTTCATTTCACCTTCAGACAGGACCGAGATCAGCGCTACACACATTAAAAAAAAAAAAAGACAGAAGGCTTGTTTCTGATGGGAAGTTTATTTTCAGTGTTCTGAGGCCTGCCTTGTGTCATAGCTCTCCCGAAATTTACCTTCTTCAGATTGGAGGCGTTTTTAGTTGGCTACCTGGTTGTGGACGTCGTGAATGCCTGTCTTGGTGTGCTGTCAACTCCATATGCCTTCTGGCACTAGGGGCTGAACCTCAGCTGTGGTGGGGGCCAAGGGAGCAGAAAGGAGTGAGATTGACGAGGTCGAATCCTAGTAGAAGTTGCCTTCGGTTTGGGAGGCAGTTCTGAGGCAGGGGAGAAGATGTCGAGGCGTTTCATTGGTCCGGCTGTTAGGTGTCCAGGGAAGAAGCCAGCTGGGGTTGGGTGCTTATGTGGTCAGGTTTTTTTTTTTTTTAAAGGGAAGCCCAGGGATGTTTGGTGATTCAGCAGGTGGCAGGTTTCCAGCTCTGAAGCCTTGCCTTGGCCGAGCAAGCCAGCAAGCAAGCTGCAGAGCCTGTGCCCGCAGCTGGCGGTGCCTAGCTTTGGGGAAAACCTCCCGGAGCGGCCTTCTTATGTGCACCAAGTCTTCGTTCCTTGTCTCGCTTCCTGTTTCCTTCTGGATGCCCTGGTCCTTTGGGTTTCCTTAGTGGTCCTCTTAAGCTGTGGAGCACATTTTAACGTCTTCATCACAGACCTGCTGGGTTGTAGGAGGTGGCCACCACTACCGTTCAGTTCAGATAGTTATTGTACAAAGTGAGAACACCTCTCTTTTTCTGCTTCAGAGACCAAACGTTTTTATTGTTAGTAAAATAAATACTTTTCTGCCACTTGTCACTGACATTGAACTACTTCAAATGCCAGGGAACTTAAAAAGAACGCTTACTAATTCAACATATTAAGTTATTAAAGGCACACATTGTTTAAAATATCTTACTTGGAGAACTCTAATGTCTTGCATAATGTCTGACCAGTATGTAGCTTAGTAAATGCTTATTCATATTTAAAAACGTTTTTCATAACAGAAAAGCACTAGAATTTACCACATTTCTCATTATTTTTTTTATGTCTGTAAGTGGGATTCTTTCCTGAATAATTTTAGAATAAAGAAAGCACAACAAAGTCTGTACATGTTATGTGTGTTGGGCACTTAGAGACCCTTGTGTGTTTTCCTAATTGGCCCTGGTTGACCATAAACATCCGTTTTACATCAAGATCTGGATGCTCATCTTGCTCATATTTTCATTTTCAGCTTGGGTCAGGTGCTTCTCTGGAGCTGGAATCAAGGGCACTCTTTTGAGGTTAAGTCATAAAAACCTAAAGGAGAACTCAATGCTAGGCTCGGCTGTTTTTAACTAAAACTGTGCTCCAGACACTTATCATATGTTCTTTGATAAAACCTCATTCCCTGCAAAGCATTTCAGGAAACCTATAGGTTCCCAACTTTGTCATCCAGTGATAAGCACTGCTGTAGAAAAGGTAAAACCTGCTCAAGGACTGAGGAAACTTGGTGGCCTATGTTCTTCAGAGACAGGACAGATTACAGATGGCTATGTCTTTGCCTGTTCTGGATAGTTGCAGTTTTTTTTTTCTTTTTTAGAACTTTCTTGGTATGCATGGGTGTTAAAAATTTGGGCTTGTTGGTTCAAAAAAGAGTATCCATGCAAGGAGGAAAAAGGACAGAGAATATAAGTGCTTATTTATTGCTTCCTACAGTAAAGTCCCTCATTCCACTAGCTGTGCACAGCTTGTCACCTCAGTTAGGGTACCCAGTCAGAAAAAAGAGTCATTTTTTGTTCATTTGAATCATTTCAGTTTGGTGTGGGGAACAGGGAATGAATGAAGGGGAAGAGAGGGCAGGTCCTGTGGCCAGGAAGATGGCTGGGTTCTGTAGCTGTGGCAATAACTTCTGGTTTCAGTAAAACCGAATTGCATGGCTAGTGACCAGGTGTAGCTCAGTGTTTACTAGGATGCTTGATCTTCATTCAGAGCCTCAACATGTAGACACACTACTCACAGGGGTAGACATGCAGATACACACACACACACACACACACACACAGAGATACCTAGATATACACAGGCAAAGAAGGCATACACACACAGGTAGACACATGTCTCCTTTGCCAAAAGCCAAGAAGAACCCCAGCTTCTTTCTAATCTGTCAAAGAGAAAACTAGACCTCAATGTAATGTTGCTTTTTGGAGGTTTGAATTACGCCATGCTGTATTTGAGAAAGAATCCCTCTGCCTCAGTGGCCAGATAGATGGAACAGCTATTTTAGGTCAATGCAGATGAGTGAGAACTTAGAATTTAGGTGCTTTTTCCCTCTTAGACATGGTCAGTTCTTGGCATCAGATCCTCGCACTGTACAAAGCCCCTTGCCTGTAGCTGGCCTCTCCGTTCCCTTCCATTCCCTCTGCTGCAAGAGGAGTCTTCTCTCATATAGTGAATGAGGTTTTGTGGGGGCGGTGCGTATGAGTATTTGTTAAAGATGTTGTGTTACTTGATGTGTTTTCTTCAGTTTACATAAAGGGTGCTGAGGCTGTGGATCAGGGGAGAGTGCTTGTTCAGCATGCACAGGGTCCTGGGTTCCATTTGCAGTACTGCAAAAGGAAAGCACTTCAACCCTCCAAAACTGTTTGTCTTGGAAACATTCCAACATTTCCTGAGAGTTGACAGAATTCTTTTCAATGTTTTATTAGGTAGTTTTGTGTAAGTTTGTGCTTGTTCTGTATACCGAGGCGATATGTATATGTATACATATACATATATGTATATCTCACTGTGTGTGTATGCAGTCATACATATACACATATTCATGTATGTTATATGTATGTCTGTGTGCATGCTAGTGTTAGATGCATAACTCATTTCCACCCTGTTACCACAAGCAAAACTGAATGGAATGCTGGCTTCATTCTCTTACTGATCTCCACGAAAGGATCCTAGAGGTAGTAGTTTTGGAAGCATGCTCCCCACTAGCAATGCAGAGTCTAGACCTCCTGAATCAGAAAGTCTCAGCTCAGAAGCTGCTGATCTGTGCTGTGCCGTGCCTAGTCTGGAGATTCTGTTGCAAGGGTACGTTGGAGACCTGATGCTCTAGGGGCCTACATCTAGGACCCTGCTCGGGGTGGCTAAGAAGTAAAGTACTAGCACACGTTGAATCTCACTTACTCTCAGAACTGCCGAGCTGCTATGCACTTTCAGGGATGCTACCCACATCCTTGTTAGTGTCGGACATTAATAATCTCTATAATCTACCCCTATTTTGTGGCTAGCTAATGAGCTCTCATTGTTTTAATGTAAGGATTTATGTGATTCTTAGTGAATTGAGGTGTGACTAATGTTATTTTGTTGTTGTTCTGTTTCTTAGACCAGCTGTTCATTTTATCTTGTGTTCTTCCCCTCTTATTCTCTATTCCCTCCCCCACATTAGAGTTTCTTCTCCCCCTTTTATTTTGTACGACAGTATTACTAAACCATTGATTAAACCATGCATTCTTTCATAGTTTCCGTGAGGCTGGTTTGATTGTATGTCGTGTGTCCACATACACAAGACTTTGTCAGTTTATTGAGAATTGTAATTTATGTGAAGAAATCAATTTAAAATGTGTACTTTATTTCGGAAAGCTCTCTTCAAAGTGCCACAGTGAAGATACCAAACATTTCTGATAACTCCAGACTTCCCCTGGGTCCATTTTGGAGTCAGAACCTTCCTGTTAGACCCAGACTTGTGTAACCATTATAGCTTGCATTTCTTTAATTTTATATATGTGGTGCATACTATATGATACTTTTTTTGTGTCTGGTTCCTTTCACTAAACAGGGTTTAAAATAATCTTCTTTTGAACTGTGTACAAGGCATAGAACATAGCCTTTCCAGGCAGTCTTCTTTGTGTAATTCAGTAGTGTGATTGTCCAGGTTGGGCAAGCGTCAACATGATCCCTCCATAGAACGTTGTCATCACCCCAAACCAAATCCTGACCTCTTAAGCTCAGTCTTCTAATCTTGAGATGCCTCAGGGGCTGGTATTTTGTTTAGTTCTTTCCCAGCGTTTTGCCGTTTCTGTTCCAAGCCTTTATTTCTTCATTGGAGTGTCGTATCATGTTTGCTTGAGTGGCACGAAGCCCTCTTGTTCTTAGACATTGGTTTGATTGTACTTGATGTTTGCTTTTCCATATTCATTTTGGAATGCTTCTGAAGTTCTCAATAAAGTCCAGAAAACATAATTGGCATTGCTTGGGTTATAGTCTCAAGGAGAGAATTGACATTGTTTCTATTTTGATACTGTATGGTATTGTCATCTCACTTAAAATAACCTTAAATAAAGTTTACAATTTTCTTTGTTATGGTAACACTTTTTCCTCATTATTGGCTTTGGAACTTGAATTCAGGGACTTGTACATGCTAAACACATGCTAAAACACATGCTAAACATAACATATGGTGTACTACTGAACTACCCTCCCAGCTATGGGAACTTTTTTTTTTTTAAATAAAGGCCATATGTTTGGGCGGAGTTTGTTTTAGATGCTGTATTTTTAACAGTTGAATTGCT